AAAAAAAGGAAAGAAAATCTCATCACTTGAAGCCACCGGGAGCCTGTGGCCCAGCCAGCCCGGGGCTTTCTCCGGAGCAGAGTGGCGCCGCCGGGCCCTGGCAGCCAGGACTTCTCCGTGTATGTGTGCATCCCCAGCCGGGGTGGGCGGGCCGCCAGAGCAGCTTTTTACAATCCAGAGACAGAAAACAAAATCTAGAAGCAACAGCGAAACAAAGAACCTGTTTCCTTCCCGGCACTGTTTCTGTCGCCTCTTTCCCTGCTCCGCCTGTCCCTGGCCTCAGTCAGCCCTCCTGGGGCGTGTACCTCACTGCCTGCCCCAGGACTGGCGCCTGTCTCCCCCTCCCCTCCCCACTGGCCCGGGGGAGACACCCTCACACCCAAAGATGCTTTTGCCAAGATGGCTGCGCTGTCCCTTTGAGTTCCTGCTTCTTGTATATTGCTTCTGGGACTCTGGGCCGAGGAAGAAGGGACTGATTTCCCACCTAGAGAGGTTGATGGGGGAAGGAAAGTGGAGGCAGCAAGTGGTGGGTGTGACCGGGAGGCTAGGAGTGGTGAACTTGTCTTCTCTCTTGAGGGGGGTGGGGAGGGTATGCAAAGGTGAGAGATCACCTTCCCTCCCCTACACCCTCCTGCAGGGGACACAGAGCCAAGTACCAGGGCCTGCAGTCAGGACATCTTTGTACTGGGGGCTCTACCCCCAACCTATAGACTCTGGAAGCTTCAGGCTGGGGATGTCTCCTGAGTACCTCTTCCAACACCCTCCTCCTCAGCCTCTCACCCTGGCCTCCCCTGCCCCAACTCTTTGAGGGTAGGGTAGTCCCATTGCCACACTAGCCCAGCCCTATCATTGCCATTCTCCCAGGGGTGGCCCTCCACCCCTATTCTGGCCCCCTTCTTGTCTCTTTTGCCCCTCTCTCTTTTCTCACAAGTGCCATGAGTTTTCAAACATCTTCGGGTCTCAGCCTGCTGCTGCCATAAACTTCTTTGGGTTAAGGGGGCGGGGGTGGGGGGGAAGGCTCTAGGGAGGAACTAGGGGAAAGGGACAGGTAGGTGGCTGGAGGAACCCTTTTTGCTGCTAGAAAGTCCCTCCCTTCTCCTGGGGAGCTGGGGCTGGCTTGTCCCCATCAGTTAGGGGAGAAGGGGTCAGACCAAAGATGGTGGTTTGTCCCATGTAGGGAGACAGGTGTGGGGAGAAGGCAGGTTTGGGTTCCATATCTGGCTTTTCGGTAGGAAGGCTTAACCTCATTCAGCGGAAGAACATGGGTAAGTCTGGATGGGGAAGAGAGAAGTATAGGGACAGTCGTGCCCAGACAGCTCTGTGGCCTTCTTTGGTATCACTAGGCCAGGAACTCCACTTAGGAAGGGGCAGTTAGAGGTCTGTGAAGAGCTGGCAAGAGAGGAGGGACAATGGAGGAGTTGGCCAGGCGTCAGTCCAGCCAGAGCCAGAGGCTGCCTCTGCCACCAGTAAGAGGGCTGGAGAGCAGGCTTGGAGGGAGAGTTCCACAGGGGGTGGGTGCTGGAGGTAGGCAAGGAATCCGCTTTCTCTCCCCTGACCAGCCCTCCTTTTATCTCTCCAGATACTGACAATCAAGGGGAGAGAGGGTGTGGTGGGTCCCTAGGTTCTCGTTCCAGCCAAAATCACCAAGGTGGAGTCCCAGGCCTCAGAGCTGCATGGCAGGGCCCCCTGGTGGGGTTGGACACCACTGCAGTCAAGTGCAAAGCCACCCCCGAGAGCCCAGGTGTCCCCTCACCCCAACCAGACCTGGTGCCTTGACACCCCACCCCAGCTGGGACAGTATAGAGAAGGAAGGGTCTTGGTTTCCTCTCCTACTCTCTTCCTTGGGCTCCTGAATTCATTTGCTTTTAAATCTTAGTATTTTTTGTTGTTGTTTCCCTGGCCTTCCTTTCTCTGTCAACACCTCTTTCCCTGTGTCTTTCTCACTGTCTCTGTGTACCTCTTCTTTCACCCTCAATATCTCTTGTGTCCATTCGGGCCTCCTCCCCTCTCTCCCATGCCCCCCAGTCCCTCCTTGGTCTCCTTTTCGATATGCCAAACCAATTTTGGGTCGAGTGCATTTAACGAGAACAAAACAAAAGGCTCATAACAAGAACGTTTCAGAAAAAAACAAAAAGTTTAAAAAAAATTGTTGAGTCAAAAAAATCAAACAATAAAGAAATTAAGATTTCTTGGAATGACAAGAGTGGCGTGACTCGCTGGGGGGTAAGAAGTGGGTGAGTGGATCTGCTCAGAGTGTCCCCATGAGGCTGACACGGTGAGAACCTGCACTGCAGCATTTTGAACCCACCGCAGAGGCCTGGCGAGTTACAGAATCCTAACACTCACAGAGAACTTTGTAAGTTCCTGGGTCTGGCTGAGCACTTCAGGTGCAGTTTCTCTTTGAATCCGCATAAATGCTCTATGGGGGAGGTTATCAGATCTCCATTTTGCAGACGGGGAACCTGGCCTACAGTGCCTAGATGAATGCCCAAGTCTCTCTGGCCAGGCCACTGCATATCAAGTGTCAGAGAAGCCCCACCAGCTGTATTTCAGGCAGAGTGCAGGCACTGTATGCTGTGCCTGTCTCGTTCCACCTGCCATTCCTAGACCCCCACATGCTGCTGGAACGGTGCGTCTTCAAACGTGCCAAGGTGGGACCGCATCACGTGTATTGCACATTCTCAAATGCAGCTCCCAGTGCTCCGAGAGAGGAAGGACTATTCAAACAGTGCGAGCATCTCTCTGTGCCTCCCTCCCTCCAACATCTGCATCCAGGATGCCACACTCCCGATTATCTTCCCACCTCTCCAGCCACTCCTTCCCAGTTTGTGGCTGGTTCCTTCTCATCTCCTGACTCTTAACACCGGTGAGACCAGATACCTACACTCACTCCTTAGGAGATCTCAGCCTTGTTGCATGGTTGTACATAATAACTATAAGCTGACAACTCCCAAACACAGAATTCCAGGCTGAACTTCTGCCTTGAGTTCCAAATTCTTTCACATCCAACCTACCCCCTCCACATTTCCCCCTAGGTGTCTGGCAGGACTTCAAACTTAACTTGTCCAAACCTGTCCCCCACAGCTCCTCTCATAGGCTCCCCACCCTCAACTAATCGCAAATCCATCTGCGACTCAAGAATAAACCCTTGGAGGTTCCTTTGAACTTACCTCTTTGTTCAACCTCACATCTAAACTGACAGAAAATGGAATGGTGGTTCTAACTTCAAATTATCCACAGTTAATTCTTATCACCCTGGTTCAAGCCACCATTGTCTCTCATCACGACCACTGCAACACTCCCCTAACTAATTCCCTTGTCCTTCTTCAGGCTTTTCTCAACACAGAAACCAGAATGATCTTGGTAAGCACCTTGTCCCTCCTCTGCTCAAAACTCTCCAGTAACCTCTTCTCTTGCCCAGACAAAAGGCCAAAGTCAGCCCAGCAATGACCTATGAGGCTCTACGACATCAGATCTCATCCCCATGGCTCTCCTCCTGCTTCCCTCCACTCTAGCCACGCTGGGTTCCTCACTGCACACGAAGATGCAGGCACCTGCCTCAGAGCCTTTGCCCTGGCCATTCCATAGCATTCACTTATTCTGCAGAGAATTCTCCTGCTTATGAAAATCAGAGCTTCCCAAGCCACTCCATTTAAACTGCAATTGGCTACTCCAGAACTCCCTAAAACACATTTTGCTTCGTTGGTCTCCCATAGCACTCCTATCTAGCAAACTAAGAAACTTCTTTTGCTTGTTTATTATCTGGCCCCCCAACCAGAATGTAATGTAGAATGGTGTGTTTTTGTTCAGTGCTGTTCCCCAGTGTCTAGCACAGCATCTGACACACAGTAAGTGATCAATAAATATTTGTTAAAGGATGGAAAGCTGAAATGAAAGGGAGACCTAGAGTGAGCCTGAGACGAGAGTTACAAAT